TGCACGTCAATGGCAAGGTGGCTCTGGTCACCGGCGGGGCGCAGGGCATCGGCAGGGCTTTCGTCCAGGCGCTGCTGGGCAAGGGCGCGAAGGTAAGCCCCGGGAAGGGCCCCCTCCCCTCTGCCTCCCGCCTCTCCGCTCCGGCCGGGGCGGCAGCCCCCTCGGCTCGGCTCGGCTCGGCTCGGCTCGGCGGGGGAGCCGTCCGTCTGTCCGGCCGGCCGCCGCTCAGCCTTTCCCTCCCTCCCCGCTCAGGTAGCCCTGCTGGACCGCAACTCCGAGGCCGGGCAGGAGGGCAAGGCGGCCCTGGACGAGCAGTTTGAAGCGCAGAGGACGGTGTTCATCCAGTGCGACGTTACGGACCAGGAGCAGCTGAAAGGTAAGAAGGAAACTGTCAGCGCTGTGCTCCGGCTTAACATGCAGCAACCTGAAAAAGCCTGGGCTGCTGCACCAATAAGTGTGCAATTAAGGTTTCTGGAGGACAGCCTACTCCCAATCGCTTCTGACAGTGACTCAAAAAGGATTTGTTTCTGAACCTGCAGATGTGAAATATTACTACCAGCATGCATGTATTTCACCATGTTACTTGGCACATCGTAAAGAAAAGCCAAAGAAATCATTTCCGTTGAGTGCTGTGTGTGATATTTTTGCATGAAAGCCTCTGCAGAAGACAATTGTTATTTTATGAGTAATATATAAACTTTAAAGCATGGACTTGCCTTTTATGAGGTTTCAGTACAGACTCCAAGCTGCAGTCCCTCGTCACAGGAGTAGTAAATTCTGCTCTGGGTTGCAGTGCTCTTTCCATACAGCACACTTACTTTCAGCGTGTGCTGCTGTAGCTGAAAGCAGAATTGGCAAAAGATGGCACGCTGCTTTATCACGGTGTTAAACGTGGGTTGATAAAATTTTGCACACATTTTGTAGATGCAGGGAATGGCAAGGAGCTTCCCTCGTGTATGATTTGCATTTATGTTTTCACTTAGTGACTAAATCATGCTCCCTACTGAGTTCTTGAGTATTGTATAATGTTGGTGTACCCTTCACAATATTTCATAACAGGCATGTCACTTCATCAAAGTTTCATTATTAAAGAGATACATTCATAGGTAGTGACTCAGATTCAGAGTTTGACATCACTTTTGTCAGTGCCCTTTCCCCAGATTCGTGTCAGGCTAGATGCGAACATTTTTAGTTCTGCTTTTATTCACTACACTTCATTGGCTGCTTTCTCAACAGCGGTGATTGAGCATATCCATTCCTCTTTCACAAAACATTGCAGCAATATTGTTCACTGCTCCAAGTTAGCATGGTCATGCCTAATTCCAAAGCTTTACATAGTCTGTCTGTAAGAGAGATGCTGGACTTTACATTTGAGATCTGCTTTAATCAGCAAAGTTTTTATCAGCTAGGTTGATTATTGACTTTTTCTCCAAGTGGGAGGAGTAACCTAGGAGCAAGAAAAAGCATCCTAAGGGTAGGAATACCATGTGCTGCAGCATGGGTGTTACCCCAGTGTGCTTTCTCTCCCATGATTCCTCCTCCCTTTAGTGCCAGGCTAGTGCAGGACCAACAGGGTGTGCACTGGGAACTGGAGTGAGTAGGATGGGTTAGCGAGGGAGGTTTTGGAACCAAGTTATAGGAAAAGAGCAATCAGAGTAGGATCAGAAAGGGCTCTCGCAAGGAGCGAGAGCAAGAACGGGCGGCTGCTGCTTATGCTTCTCTGGTACTGCATTACTGCAGTACATATGCTGCAGGTTTCTTAGCATAAATTTGCAATCATGTCTTACAATCCTTTGGGGTTTCTAGGGTTTTGTGGGTTGGGGTTTTTGTTACTGCTTTATTTTCCTATTTTTTCACTATTAGTTGCAAGCCACCACTTAATAAACTTAGATTAATTTTACTCCTAGTGTTTAAAGTTCTTAGCGGATGCATCAAGTCCTGTACTTGCTTTTCATGTTAAAGGTCATGTGCATGAATGAAGTTCCTCTTATTTTAACTTTAGCCCTTTCAGTATGAAACAAGTCACAGTACTAGAACTACTATTTGTAGGTACATAAGGCTTATGGGTAGGAAATTAGCTGCTTCATCTGCTTTCAAGTCTTGCCTGTGCTTTTTTCTCTGGTGGCTCTTTCACAGAGTCCCCCACAAAAATCTTCTATCTTGTCCCACTTTTGAATAATCACTATACATTTACTTTTGCTTTCTATGAATATTTAGGAAGCTCACATATAACTGGTGTTTGTACTTACTTTCCACTGGTTTTCTTACCCCTCCTTTAAAATGGATCCTCCTCTTCATTTTTCATTTTTCTTCATTCAATATTTCATATGATCATCTGCTTTTAATTTTTATGATTCCATAAGCACTAACTAGTGTGCAATGTAAACACAGAATTATTCTACATTCGAAAAAGGAAGCACAAGTCAGTTTACACTGATGCACAGGTGGTAACTTTCTTAAGAATTTATAATGAGATTCTTCTTTTTGTAGATAGGTAATAGATGGGATTACTGTAGGCAGGTAAACTTTTACCAGAAATATTGCAGATTTGGTAATCATTCTTTATTTTTTACATAGATATGCAACAGCTGAAAAGCATTTGGCTCTTTTTACAATGTGTAAACTAGAAAACTACAATTAGTCAAGACTGTGTCAATTTAATAAACAAATAATTGGCAAAAGTGCTATTATCCATGGTGGTTTTTGAAGGCAAAAGATTCTATTAAGAATGAGGTTGATGAAAGACACTACTCAAAGGAGGCTTAAAAGGGAATCAGAGAACCAGTTTCCAAAATTTGGAAGCTAATTGAGGATCAAATTTTATTTATTTTACTCATTGAAACTAAGTTAAATAATCAGTTCTGCTCCTAATAAAGCCAAAGCTTTTCATTTGCTCTTGCTGATGCAGGATTGGAAAGATGGGAATTGATTGAAGATTTAAGCTGATAAACCAGAGAATGAATTAGCAACAAACATAACAAAAGCCAAAAAGGCAGACAGCCAAAAATAGAGGCTTTAGTAATATTAAAATATTCTAGGACATAATAAGAATATTAGAAAAATCTGTACAGTAAAGGCAGTTGGAGAAATAAAACCTTTCCCATCAGCTGCCCAGCTCTTATTCTGATGAGAAGATGACAACTGTGATGGACCTGCAGCATTCAGGCAAAGAAAAGGCTGTAACAGTACCAACAATCTGGTGCAAGAAAAAAAACTTTGTAAACCTCTGCAACTGCCGCAAAAAAGGTAGATGTCTCAAAGCTGCTGCTATGCTCTTGATTGACACTAATAGCCAAAGATTAAAGATCAGAGAATTAAGATGGTCCTGGGATCACCTTTTAGTGAAGTGGTTTCATTAAGGTCTGTCAAGCATAATTTCAGTATACCTGAAATACTCAGTCACCAAACAATGATTTAAAAAAAAATATTGGGGGGGGGTGTCTTGGTTTACATAACAATAAATAATTAGTGATGAGGAACAGTATTTGGAGGGAAGAACAAACAAGCTATGTATATACACGTGTCAGATAATGTCTGCAGTCATGGAAAATCTTAGTCTGGAATGAACATCTGGAGGTCATCTCATCCAACTATCCTGTCAAAGCAGAGCCAGCCTAGATGAGTTTGCTCATCACTACGACATCATCATGTTTTTCCATACAAATCTTTTATCTTAGTTTGAACACTGTCACCTGGGAGAACACAATGTCATTGTGGAAGTTTCTCAGTTCTTTATTTTGAAATTCTTTGGAAGACAGGTCACTATGTTCATCAACAGAAGGAAGATTTGAATCTGAGAAACACATTATTAAAGTTACCTGACAAGTAGGATGTATAACAATTTATTCATAAATGGATAAATTTAAACAAGAATTATGATGAATTATTTGTAGTTGAAAGCTTCATATTAGTTATATCACTGAAGAAGAATTGTGTTCTTAGGTTAAATTCAGACTCAAGCATGAAAATTGTTCTGAACACATGAAGCTTTTACTTTTCATTTAAAATAGATGGTGCCAAATCTTGGATTCACTAGCTATATCAAACTGTTACAAATCAAGCTATAAATGCCTAATTTACATAATCAGCGTGCCAAACATCCTATCTAATACAAAATGTATGGGTGCTAAGAACTTTCATTGGCTCCTGTTATCAGGCATTATAAAAGTGAATGAAAAGGCGACTATGGTATCTTAATCCTTTCAGTTTTCCTGAATACATTTAATATTGGTGAATGGTTAGATAAAGAATTTAACTGCATGTTGCTCATTATTGGTTAAGAAAACAGTGAAGACGTTTTGGTAGACTAATAAAACATTAATTTGTATGCATGCATTGTATTTTTATATCTTACTTTCCATAAGTGCTAAGAAATTTCACACTTGGATCTTACTATAGGTGCTTTCAAAAAAGTAATTGAACATTTTGGAAGGCTGGATATTGTGGTTAATAATGCTGGAGTGAATAATGAGAAGGACTGGGAAAGCACTATACAAATTAACTTGGTAAGCATTATCTTCTTTCACATGTTCATACTTCATTTAATGCTGGGATACACTTAACAGCCCTTGGCTTGTACAGGTTGTGCCATATGACAGAACATGAATTATTGGATTGGTAAACACAGCTATTGGAACAATAGCCATGTAACTGCATGTGTACTAACCAAAAAGTGTGTGTGGTGGGTCCTTTAAGTTGTCTATCCAAGACATGCAGCACTGTGTAGAGGTACTCAGGCTAACACCAGACAAAATTCTCTTTCTATTTCAGTGAAATCCCAGGTAGGTGTAACAATTTGGTGCCCAAAGCAGTAAAGCTGCATCTACAGGAGGCCACTCTGTTTATATGAATGTTTTAGAACATTTTAGTTACTTGTGAGACTCAGCTGACCTGCATTAGAGAGTAAGTTGCCATTTGTTGGTATTACAAGAAAACTTGTTCAACCAAGAGCTCCACATTTTCTTCACCAACAAAGCAAGCATACAATCTGAGCTCTTAATACAGGCCATTTCACCATCATCACTGATAGAAGCACACCACTTAAGAGCACTTACTTGCTAAAACCCAGTACATTCAACAAGCCTGTAAAATTTATTTTCAAATGGACTATTTTTTGTTCTTGATCTTTTATATCTATTCAAGGTCAAATTTGCTTATTCTTGGAAAGGACTGAACTGAGACCACAGATTAAAATTTCCACAATAAGAGAAATACATTTGTTCAATTTCCTTTGCCTTTTCTTTACACTTTCTTTAAGATTTAACTACACATATTTCTTCCTCCCTCTTTCATTTCTAAAATATTCTGACAAATTAAACATCAGGGAACTTCATATTGTGAAGTAACAGGAGTATGACATCCTCAGTGCTATGCAACATCAATATCTATTAGTACAGATCCCTTGAATTTGAAAGAAGACTTTAACTGTGTTCTAGATGACTTATTTCTCTTTATTTTTGTGCCTGGTTTAACACAGGATATGTTACTGTAGGCAGCCATCCACCTTTGCAAGCACAGGTAGTTAGTCAAATTTGCAAGCACAGGTAGTTAGTCATCACCAAAAAAATTGAAGTCCATGTGAGAAACACATTTGTCTGTGATTCACCTTTAAATTTAGCTCAAAAAATGAAGGCATTTCTGATCAGCAAATCTTGGAGATATTTAATGTCCAGGTAAATATTCTAACTTAGAGTGATGTCCAAACAATTTTTCAATGCCAAGAGCTTCAAATAGAAGGCATTGAGAACCTTCTTCTACTATTCTTTTTGTCTTATTACCAGTGATTGGGCTGAAGCAGACCATAGGTGTGTTTGGACCATCTCAAGTAGCAGAAAAACTGGGCTCCATGTCTTACAAATCTATATGCTTAACTACCAACTACTGCCCCTAAATCTTTTTTTTAAAAAAGGAAGATTATATAGTTTATACATTATTGTATAGGTAAGTTCACCATAAATGTCCTAATGACTTAATTCATAGTTGAAAGTTGAAAAATTTCATGAATACATGCTGGTGACTGGAATAAGAACATCTAAAATGATCAAGCAGAGTAGAAGTACAGCCATGTGGATTAAATCAAGGACACTCTAAAATCCAAATATCTTCATTTATCTTTTGATTTGAATATTCTTTCCCTGTCTAACCTTGAGTCAACTAATTAGCTTCTTTCCATAGGGCATTTCTGTCTAGTGACTCTAATTTCCATAAACCAAGATATAACATTTTGTACTTTTTGCTTTTTAACTATAACAATGGAAGAATAACAGCTGCTGCATGTAATATGTTATATTGGTTGGTTCCATAAAATAATTCTTGCTTCTTGTAGAGAAAGGAGCAAAATATGTATGAAATACATGATTTTAAATTGTCTCTATTTCCCCAAAGTTGGACATTTTAAGTATTCTTTGTATTATCCCTAAGAACAGGAGTAACTTCTATGGCCACACATTTTGAGACACATTATGCACTTATTTTCTACTTTAAAAAAGGGGAAAAAAAACCCTACATGCCAGTCTTCGTCTTAGTGATATCATATATATATTGATACAACAAATATTCCCTGACCCAGTTTAAAGTACAAAGTACAAAAGTAGAGCAGTACAGAGCAAGATAAATCAGAACAAACACATATGGGGTGTGTTCTTTATGGCTAAAACAGTTCACAGAACCGGTTGGTCTTCAGGAACATCTTTAAAGGAGTGTAAGGAAGTTCCCTGATAGTACTGCTTGAGAAAGCATGAAGAACAGAAATGAAGAAGCAGGTTCAAAAAGTGGGACTCAAATTAGAAGGAAAAAGAGGGAATAAAACACAATTCCTACTTGTATCCATTATAGTTTCCTGAGAGCAAGAAAAGACAGCTTGATAAAGATGGGGGGGAAAAGAGTAACAACTGCTAAAAAGAGATTTCTGCTTTCCACCATTTTGCTATATTATGTGCTAAACCACATCCATCTTTTCATTACTTTATTAATATTTCTATTAACTTTTTCAGTTAAGTATTCCAGCAATGCCATCCGTTCCTCACCTCAAAACTCCAAAGCTGATAGTGTAGACTTGATTGGTATCAGCTCGATCAATGGCAGCTTCAACTGCTCATACCCATACAAATGTACACTCTTGTTATTATGGTGTATAAAAAAAGATCTTGGCAACCATACAGGAATTCCATTTTAAATTTATATTACCAGTGTAGTTTCAACAGTCCACCATACACACACATACCCATGCACAGAATAACACAAGGACATATGACACATACATTCTTATCAAGAGTCCTACCTACGGTCCTCCAGCATGACAAGAACAGTGTTTCTTGCATTCAACTTCGTAAGAACTTATGCCTAAGGAATCCAGAAATTTTATAATCTGACTTTTTTCTCTTCAAGTCCCTAAAGAAAGAAAAGTGCCCACATCTTTGTGAGACTTGAATACATACGTTAGTTAAACACAATTTGGTGTTCTAAGAAGCCTCCCTAATTTTATTTTGTGTTGATGACGTAGGCTTTCTGGAACCACTGTAATTATAGTGGCTGCTATAAATACAGTATCTTTTCTCTTTACAAATGCACTTAGTACATTTTATATTAAGGCAATCCCAAAATTTACTTGGAGGTTCCTTTTTTACGCTCGTATCAGAGGTTTCTGAAGACTGACAGAGGTTGCAGTATACAGTTAAATGTAGCAGTACTGGTATCACATATGCTTAAATTTTAATATTACCTGAAACAAAAGTACAGAAGCACTTTACATAACATTTTGACTATCTTATTGTTTTCTTATGCCAACAAATTAATTATTTTATAGGTATATTTAAACCGATTCCCTGAATGAAATTAAATAGACTCATGAAAGGATTTCACAGCAAAATCACAATTATCTCCTGCTTATGTGATGATTTTGCACATTTTAACATATTATTCTGGCAAGACTTTAAATTGCAGGCCATAACTTGGGCATGCCAAAAAAACCCAGTCATATGGGATCCAATTATTTAAGTGTTGCCCAGAGAGAAGTAGAATTCAAATACACATGTAAAATTTGTTCAGGTGCATGTCAGTCTCATCCTTCATTACTAGGCAAAATGTGGCTGTACCCAACAATTCCAAGTTTGCATAATTTATTTCCATAAATGACAAAGGTAACGTTTCTGTGAATTTAGAAAAGTCCTTTTCTAAAATGAAGTCTACCTAACTCAGGGTTTGTCCCTGCAAAATACTTAGATTGGTACTACAGAGAAGAGAATGCAACACTGTATATATGTGTGTGGCTCTGTTCAATATAGCTCATGGTGAAATAAAGGTTCCAGCAACTAGCAAACTTTGCAAAATCAATTCATTTGCTCATCAGTAAGGAACTATTCCTCAAAAGGCCAATTAATGTCTTGGCAGAAACCAGAAGGGTAACTAGGGAAACTTCAGAAGTGATTAATTTTATTTTTGGGACAAAGACGTCATGATCATCACAAGGCTGTTCCATTGTGCAAGATGTAAAAGGGATCACTTGGGAGTATGCTGCAACCTTCTTCTGGTCCATACACCTTGCTCTCCTTTCCCAGTGTACCAGGAGAAATGACAAGTACTGAACTTTCATCCCAAAATAACGTGGCCAGGACACATAGCTAGATTCAGCAGGTGGGAATTACCACCAGGTCCCACAGTACTGACAGAGGCAAGTACTGTTTCTTAATGCCACCAACACAGAAACAAAACAAAACAGTGCTATCTGTTGAAGATAAAATGGCATAGGTAACTAGTTTACCAAGTTTGCATTCTAAGACAACCAGAAATACACTGTGTTGTCCAATGGCTTAGTTGCTTATTCTTCAGCATAATTTGATGTCAGAAAGAGGACTAAATGCCTAGGGAGAGATGTGCCCACCAAAAAGTGAGAAGTACCACTTACCGTGAAATCAGTGGCATGAGGGTCAATCCTCTAAATGCATAAAGAAGCCTGTAAGTATAATAATTTTTGTTGTTCGTATTGCACCAGGAAGGACACAGACTTACCTTAATTGCACAGTGAGTCAATGAACTTCTTAGCTTACAGTTTTAATGTGTGTTTACAGTAACCAATGTTGAAGCACAATGAAAAGCGAATTTCTTTGAACTAAGAACTACTTAAGCCCAGCTACTCAAAATGCAATACTATTCCTATGTCTTTCAGGAATGTGTGTGGGGGGAAAAAGTAAAGAAAACCGCACAGTAAAAAACTGAAACATAGTATTTCACTCCCACATTGTACAAAAGCTACTGATGTCTAGCAAATGATCAAATCCTACTGCACATTCCTTTCTGCCTCTCCCTCCCTAGGCTTCTTGTTTTCCACAGTTTGAGCTGGAAATTCAGACTCAAGAGCCTGCAATTTCATTTCATATGGCAAGTAAACTAACCTATACATAGGAATGCCAAGGGACTTGCATGCTCGCTACAACCTGTCTGCTTCCTAGAAAAACTACATTAAAGACAAAATCAGTCCCACTTCCCTGTCCAACAGCAAAATGCTAAA